TTTTAAATGTATTTAGTCCAGGGTCTACAGGGGCTCACTACACAGATTGGACTCATACTGATCCCCATTTGCAGCCTCTCAAGCGCTGGGATTACAGGAGCGTGTGTGCCACCAAGCCCAATCTCAATTGCTGCCTCAGTGTGTCCTAGGGACAGGGCCAGCACAGAACCTGGGTCCTTGCCTCTGCCTAAGCAGGTGCTTTAATCTGCTGAGCTATCTGGCTGGCACTTAGTTGATGTATATTATACATCATGATTATAATTCATACTAATCTTTGACATGTACTAAAACAGAATTGGGGGAAGATGCAAAAATAGGTTACAATCACTAGGGATGAGACTGTGGGACACAGGAAGCTGTCTCTTTATTAAATTTCTGCTGCTTCACCTCTGGTTGGTGAATCCCGCAAAGCGAACCAGGCACAGTTATACTCTTGAAACTTTTCTCTCAAAATCATCCTGTTAGGTTTATTACAACTTGTAATGTTTTGTTCTCACTTTCTGTACTGAATTTCACTTCAGGGTCTTATGCTTAAACAGAGAAAATCAACTACTTTTTGCTTGTCACTACAATGAAATCTGCTACTAATAAAATGGAATTTTAATACTGCAGTAGAACATCTTTTTAATTGTTTATTTTTATAGTGGAACTCTTATATGCAATACCAAAATGACTTCAAAAGCATATATTATACCATAAAGTATCAATTTTACATATATTAAAAGTCACAAGTATCTGAAGAAAGGAATAAGATACTTTTGACAAGTGGCTCTACGCTGTCTATTTTATTTGAGGTATTGCTGGGGGAACCCAGGACCTTTGCACTGAGCTACATCTCAAAGTCTTTAATTTTTTATTTTCACACAGGGTCTCATTAAATCAGTAAGTTGTCCAGTCTGAGCTCAAAATTTTCGTTTTCATGCCTCAGCCTCCCAGAGTGCTAAGGTTGCAGGTGTGCATCATTGTGCAATTCTGTAACAATGTTGTTTTTTAATCAAATGATTTAGAAGACACCACTCAAGATTTAAAATTGTATAATGTAAAAGTGGAAAATGAACTCAGATTTTTTTTTTCTACCTTTTAAATTGTGCTTTCCTAAGGATATAAAAACCATAGACAAGCCTTTAGCTTCTATTGTTCTACTGTAAGCTCCAACAAGGCACGAGTTTTTCCTGTGGTTATCTAATAATTAAAAAAAAAAAAAAAATCAGACTCCAAAATAATAGCTGGTACACAACAAGTGTTCAAGTGCTTGCTAAATATATGAATAAATGAATCTCTCTGCTGCTTCCTGAACTCAAATACTGATTATTCATCCAAAAAAGTTCCTTTTGCATGGCGCTGACAGCACACAGCAAGAAACCAAAGAAGCTGAGAGGATTTAGTTTCATGTATAGGATTTTAACATTTAAGTTGAAAGCCCAACAATTTGATCATTTCTTAATCATGATATAGGACTAAATAAATGTGTTCAAAAAACCATCAGAACATTTCAATAATTTTACACACTCCCAGTTAAGCTGGCACTGGGGGAAAGGGGGTGATTTTAAAAACCAATTAATTAGCTTAAACAGCTTTTATGAAAATGACTTGAACAATTCATTGTCAACAAAAAGGCTATGTATTACATTATATGATTAATGTATACTAATGTATATTTAATAATCATATATAACCACTAAAATATAATAAAGATTTTGATAATGTATCAAAAGTACAGTTTGGTTTCAAGTTCTCAGTCAAACTTTGTACAGCTGCTTAGTTATAGGCAAAACCCAAATCAGGATTTAGAACTGATTTTCTTTCTACAAATACAATTTTTCTTTCTTATTTTACAGAAAACTGAAACAGGATGGAGCCCTGTCTCCTGATGGAAAGGAAGGAAGGAGGAGAAGGAGGAGGAGGGAGGGCCCCAAGGGCTCCACAAATGCAAATTCTTGGTGTGTGTCCACTCAGTTATTTTCCAGCCTCAGAGGGCAAAATCAACTGCTCCTGCTGCCTGTGGACCTGAGACCAGAACGCTCTCTCCAACTCCCACTGACAAACGCACTGTTGGCAGTTCACTCACCTGAGTGACGATGGTGGCAGTCCCATCTGTGGCCTCGACTGTGAGGTTGTAGTGTGACCTCTGCTCTGCGTCAAGGGGTTTGGCAACGATGACGGTCCCAGTGCCCTTGTCCACGTCAAAGTGACTGTCAGAGTTGCCACCTAGTGTACAGCAGGACAGAGTTAAAACAGGTCAGAGGACAAAATCCAGTATCTATTTTATGGCTTTTTAATACTTTATGGAAGTGAAAAAAGATTTCTAATATAATGATTAAGATGAATCCAAGGAGCCATCACTTGGAAAGACAAGTGTAGCCAGTGAAAATGGCCCTGCCTTCCAGGCCAAACTAACCCTAAGTGTCAAGGAAGCACGAATTGAGAAGAAGCAAGACAGTAACTCTGAAAAGCAAAAATAGCACTAATGCTACTAATACAACTAAACTCAATTTGCTTTTACAGAGGTCCTGGATATCTATATAATTTATGTCTGGATGTCTATTTAATTTAATAACTATATAAAATATCACTAGCAATTTAACTCATTTTTCCTTATGTTACTGGGGATTGCATTAAAGGCTTAGCATATGCAAGGTGAGCACTCTAGTGCTGAGCCACGTCCCCATCCCGAAAAGTTAAATTATAAAAACAAAGTGTTGTGATACTTTGAGCCTCATTCCCTAAGAAAATAACCATTACAACAAATGTTAACTCTGAAAAACATTATCAGTAGCTAATTCTAGTAAAATTATTACATTTAAAAAGAACTTTTCTCATTATTGTCATTAGTATTGTTATCCAAAGTTTATAACACAATAATGCTATCCCAATGTAGTCTCAATTTTGTCAATAAAGCTCTTTTCAAATTCATTGAACTTAAAATACTTGTATTAATGATATGAAATGGAATGAAAATAAAGGTTCAATGTCATAATGAAGCTCTCCTACTCCTATCAAAAAGAAAAACAACATACACATACACAAGATATTAGGTCAAACCAAAAACTATGGATCTAGGGATGATTAAAAGTCAATATATGTGCAACTGGAATGGGTGAGACCAGAAGCAACTATGAAAAGAAAGAGCAATGAAAAATGGTCACTAGAAATAAAACCTCTAAGAAAAATCAATGCTTTCATTTTAGATCTCATAATCTGAGGTCAATTATGTGATCTCAGCAGATACCTTCTGCTGTACAGTTCGGGTCACAAGTCATCTGATAGATGTAAAAAACGTCTCTAGCAAGAGTGTCTCCTGGCCCAGCCAAAAGAAGCAAGTAGGCATGGAAAGCAAGCACAGAACAAGAAGCGCGGTCAGTCAAACAGTTCCAAAGGCCAGCGGCACTACACAGTGACGTTCAAGTACTGCACAGTAGCAGCCCTTACGCTGGAATCGGGAGAAAAAGGAAAGAGAAAGTGAAACAGCTATTTTGATTATTTTAATGAGGAAAAGTCATGGTTTCCCCTCTTAAACTATAATGGCTTAAGAAATAAGGTCAATTTCACATCAATGATTAAGACCGGAGACAATCCCGCTGCCCAGAGTGAAAGTTCAGGAGGAAAAGCCTGCCCCGCTTCCACCTGGGACTCCTGCTGCTTTCAGCTCATCAGCCTCTGCTTTCTGAAAAGACATCTGGTGTGACATAGAAGAGGGTGGAAGAGGGAACTGCAATATGAAATTCTCCCTAGACATAAATCACAACACAGACTTCTGATCTTGAGTATCGCTATAATTAAAATTCTGTAAAGAAACAAAAAAAGCTCTAAGATATCAAAATTTAATGTAAATTTTTAAAAGGGCATCAAATACGGTACTGTATTTATACATCAGAGCTAAATTAAATGGAAAAAGAGGAAGAATTCACTTAGCCTATACATACATTTAAAGAGGGTGAATTAATCCAATGAATCTTGCTTCCTACTAAAACTGAGATATATATATACAACTAAAAAGCCAAGGTTGGTGCTATAAATCTTAAATTACATAAATGAAGGCTTGTAGGCTTATCCTTTTTCAACATGCAAGTGTGACAGTCACATATGCACAAGGAACAGACACTTTCAGGGTTCTAATCACATTCTCTAAAACATATACTAATGTTGTATGTTATGTATAACAAATATAAACTGGGACCAAAGCATTTAGGTTTTCCTAAACAGTAATTCTTAATGCTTATACATGTAAAGAGTAAAAAATGGTGGTTCTGTGGCCACAGAATATCTATATTTAAATATTTAATAGATGCTTTTCTCGTTTGTGAAAAAAATTGCAATCAAATTTAAAGCAAATTCTCCATCCACAGGTCTTGCTCTTCAATTTGAGATGTGCAGGAAAATCAGAAAGCACACTCAGGTCTCTCTTCAGTGTAAGCCATGCAAACTGAGAAAGTGAGTGGTGCTTACCAATGATGTCAAACCAAAGAGGTGTGCCAGGGGGCTCAACAGATATGACTCCAATCATGTGAGCAACTGGATCACTTTCCATCACGGTAAAGGAAAAAAATGGTTCTTCAAATGAAATTGGCTCTGGGGGTGGCTTGGGTTTGGAGATCCACTCAATATGCAGTCTCGTTGTTGATGACTTTTGAGGGCGACCATTATCAACTGCCTTGATCTATAAAATGTGAACATGGGATTGAAAAAGCAAATTAGAAGTTATATCCCTAACAGAAACAAACATGGATTCAGTCTCAAAAACAGCTAATTTCAAATATTTAATAATCATATCTAGATATCTATATATTTAAATGCTGGGTAGCCAACCATCTCATAACCGAATTCTACGTAAATAATAATTAGCTGGAGGCTGCAGAGATAGCTCGGTGATCTAAGCGCCTGCCTGGCAGGTGCAAGGACCTGGGTTCCATCCCTGGTACCACATGCCATGCTAGCCTTGGAACCCTGGGTGGGCTGTGCCAGCCACCGAAACTGGACATGGTGGCACACACCTGCAATCCCAGTGCTGGGGAGGCTGAGACAGGAGGATCACTATGAGTCCAAGCTGCATAGTGAGATCCTGTACCTAATTAATTAATTAAAAATAATTCAATGGAATGAGAGTTGCAGAGGAAAAAAATCAACCCATACTTATCCAATATTATCAATCACTGCTCAACTGTTAGGTCTCAAACCCTGACCATTTTATTATACTCAGTTCGAAGAGATACAAGACTAGGTTTATACTCAAAGACTATGATCTGAACTCACTGAAAGAATATCATATTCTCCAGCTGCAGAGAATTTCTTGGTTGAAACCACTCCAGTTTTTGGTTCAATAAAAAATCTGCCATGCTCATTTCCCTCTTCAATGCTGTAGGAGACTTCCGCATTGGGACCTTCATCTTTGTCTGCAGCTATCACACGATACAGAGGCTCTCGTTTGGCAGTTCTTTCTCGTTCTGGTTTTTCCCGCTCTGGCAGTCTGATTTTGTAGAACTTTTGTAAGAACTGGGGTTTGTTGTCATTTTCATCAAGGATTTTCACAATTACTCTTGCAATGGTTGACTTGGGAGGAGCACCGTTGTCTGTCACAGTGACCTGTTTTTTAAAGATAACATCAACAAGATTTTAGAGGTATTTATAAACACCTTCTTCTTAGCAAGTGCTGGCATTTATCTGTACAAACTTCTATGGTTCCCATGGCACCGTGGCCCTTGCCACTTCCTCTTATTCTGACAATGACCCTGTGAAGAGGCACAGCAATCTCCCTGCTCTACAGACGGGCACACCGGGAGCCGAGCAATGGTTGAGAAATGGTGCCGGCTCCTACTCTGTTGTGGCGTTTTGCTTTGCTTGCACTACTGTGACTACCACAATGTTAAACAACCAAAAACTTAGTATTTTTAGATCATGGAAAAGATACTTAAAACATCCTGCTTTGAATATCTAGAAAGCCCTCTTTTAAAAAATACACTCTGTATATTGCAGTTAAAAAGCTGTCAGGCTGGCCAGGTAACTCAGCTTAGGCAGATGCAGGGACCAGGGTTTGATCCCCAGTGTGCCGTGCTGGCCCTGCCCCAGGCTGCACTGAGACTGGGTGTGGTGGTGCGCACCTGTAATCCCAGTGCTTGGGAGGCTGAAAAAAGGAGAATCACTACGAGTCTGATCTGTGTAGTGAGACCCTGTTATTCCTGTACTAAATAATTTTTTTAAAAACCTGTCATTGTGTTTCTTTAATAATATATGCTATACCATTATTGTAAAGTGCATGCTAACATTGAAACAGTAGCAATTACTGTTTTATTCTGTTTGGCTATCTCCTTATAAAGAAGTTTAGGAAAGTGGATGCAAACATTTAATCTTATGACCAACTTAATGTTTTCAGTAACAGCAATGTAAAAAGCTTGTATTTTAAATATGTTTTTTCCACGAATTCAGTCCAGAGATAAAGGTCACAGACTGAGAACAGTGGTGGTAATCCCTTCTACATGCATGCATCCATTTCACTGTTAAAAGCTCATGTTTATAGCAGTGTATACATTAAAAGTCATGATCTCAGTAAGGGTGATTCTCCTGTCAAATGCATCTCCCAAATTAATGTGGTCATTGGCTCTCAAAATACCACCCCCTTAGGACTACAGACAGACACACAAGAAGATGTATAAACAAACTATTACAAAACTTTGGTTCTCATCAATGTCTCAATGTATCTTGGAAGTCCTACATACTTGAACTCTGTTCTCTCTGTACTTTCAACATTCACTGAGGAAAGTGTCTGGACCGAGGTGTGCAATTATTGTAAAACCTGCGGTCACAACCAATGAGAGACAATGCGAACAAGACATCAACGTTGAGAACCTACTATTTTCAGTATTTTGGCATCTGGTTATTTTCTTTAGTACTTACTTCTCCCTTCTGTCAATTCCTGTAGTGAAAGGACATAAATTCAAAATGCCACACTATTATAGAGAAAATAAGTTCAGGAGACCTACAAAATTTATGAAATAAAATGTAACACATGAGAAAATTACTGGTGGGAAAACACAGTGGCCGTGAAACCACCTTTTTTAGAGAGGATATTTACAACTTATCCTCCCTGCACAGGCACATAGCACGGCTATTAAAAGTGAAGAACTTTTCTGACAGCATTAGGAAATTTCAACCAAAGGCAGTAGCATGAATAGCAATAAAAAGAGAACTAAAAAAATCCCTCCTTCGTCTCCTTCCTATTTACTCTCTGCTGTTAAGATGGAGGGTGTACACAGTCATTCACAATTAAACAGAGCACATGGTTTTCCAGGACTGCTTCCAGGAATCAACAATAACTTCCACATGTGATACACAAGTGTCCACAGTGGTGATGGGGCTCCTCTGCTGGATTTCCCTATCTAACAGTTACCTGCTTTTCTTGGGTTCTTTGGCTGTACCATTGACAGCACCCAGAAATAGGTGATTAGTAAATGATAAGAAGCTCTGTTTTGGTTTTTGTAAGCACAAAAGGGAATTTTTATTTATCCATGATAAGGAAGAGGCCTTACTGGAAGAGAACATTTTAGAAAACATATCCAATTTTAATCTCTATTTGTGTGAAAAACTTTTAGAAAATATTCTAAAACCACAAAAAAAAAATTGTGATCATGTAATTCTTTAACAATGGAAAAAATGTGGAAAGCTAATCATAGATTAAAGGAGATCTATAAATATCTCAAACACATGATACTGATGAAAAAGAAAGCTGCAAAAGGTATACAGAAAATACCTCTTATTCAAATGAAAGTGAAATCCCAATGATATTACTCACAGTTACATTTACTGTGTGTCGGAGTATGTGTATAGGAAGTACAAAAACTCAGACCACACAGCAGTGCCCGTGTCCTAAGGACACAGCGAAGCCGGAGAAGGGCCATGAGCCACATTCAGAATACTTCTTTATTCTCTTTTTCTTTGATGATCAGAAGCTAATATAATGAAATATTAGCAGTTATGAATACTGGCCAACAGGACCATGGTCCATCATTTATAACTGTAAATATATAAAAAACTAAAAAGTAAGGCTTACTTCCAATATGTGTTCATCTTGCTGCTCTCGGTCTAGTTTCCTTGACGTAGTTGTGATAAGACCTGTAAAACATTGTTTGTTAATCTTCAAAAAATAAAATCAGTTGCAAAATGTTATAACTGAAAGTATACATTCATGACCATCTAGACAAAAACACCTTCTCAAAGCAAGACAGGGAAAAGAATAAAATCTAAATTCCAGGTAGGGTTTTTACTGAAAAACAACATTATCCTATACTTTACAACTGCTTTTCTTCTTTTATTTAGCGCAGGGTCTAGAGAGTCTCACTACACAAATTGGACTTGTAGTGACTCTCCTTTTTCAGCTTCCCAAGTGCTGGGATTACAGGCACACACCACCAAGCCCAGTCTCAATTGCCCTGGGGGTGGGGAGGGTGGGCACAGCAGGCAGGCTGGGGATCAAAGACCCAGCCCCTGAGTATGCCTAACCAGGCACTTTAATCTGCTGAGCTATCTGCCCAGCACTGCACTGCTTTTAGTAATTCTTGACTATGTCAGATAAATGGCAGAAGAAAGAAAATAGAAAGCTCAAGTCAGCTACATTTTCTATTGTTTGCAACTGAAACTGGCATTTCATTAGGAAAGATTTTTTAAAAGTGAGATGAAGTTTCTCAGTATTTCTTCTTCACCCACTTCTCCCCCAAAGATAATGTTTCAAAGATAATAGAATTGATTAAAATAATTACTGTAAACATATTTTTAAAAACTATAAAATATATATATATATATATATAATGTTAGTACAACTTACTGTCCTGGAATCATCTACCTTCAGAAATGAAGAACTGATATAAAAAGTAATGCAATTTTCGCAGAGATGTTTCTACAACAATGGTCATTTATTTTCCAATAAAAGAAGAAGTGATTCTTGTAGTCTCTTCCCTATTTCTTCAATTAGTTTACCAAAGTAGTGTAAGTTTAAACCTCTCTCTAGAACTTTGTAACTGCCAATGCCTGCAAGCATTACAACTGATTAAGTGTATTTGTGTTTCATAAAAATACAAACAAAATTTCCCTGATCAGTGAAACACTCTACAACCCGTGCATGAGCAGATGTGTCGGCCCTGGATGTCAGAGAGCCCACGTGGCAGAAGAGCTGCGGGGCTCAGTGTCCTCCTGCCCCACGTTCCACAGGAAACACGGACTGATTCACATTTTAGAGCTGACTTTATCCTTCTCATTTATTTTCTCCTGTGGTTTCAATCCATTTTATGGAACTATTAATTAAAGGCTATTTAAATTGCTTCCCTAAATTTGTAAATGATTTGCGTTTTCATTTAATTCAATTGTTTTTCTTAAATAATTATAAAGAATCTCATTCAACATTATTTTCTACAATTCAATAAGCAGCAATCTTTTTTCAGTAAAAACAAAAGACTGTACTATAGCTAGCAACAGATTTTTCTCTAACTATACTTACAGATTAGAAGGAGTTCAAGGAACATCCTTCACACTGCAAAAGACTGAAAATGGGCTTCCTGCAGCACAAGTCTGATTTACACAAGCAAAAGACTTTAAGAGTTATTTTCTCTATCAAATATTTATATGGCTTAAAATAGGGAAAAAAATCATGGATTGGTCCCACCTAACTGTCCCAATATGGGCATCAAAAAGTGATTACCAATCACATGGAGCAGCAGCCTGGCATCTTCACTGCAAAGCATTGTTCTTCTAACACTCAATTATCCACCAATCACACTGCACAAATGCCTGCTCTGCTAACAAGGAATCTGCCTACCTTCTTAATATCGAATCAATGTAAAGCCAAGAAGTACCTGACCATCTTCTTCTAGGTTTGGAATTATGGTAAGTCCTACCTATATGCTTTATATTAAATCCTTTCTGTGGACACAACACTGATTCCATTCACACACAGTAGTTGTGATGCTCCCTTCTTACCCTGGTTAGCCTGGTCACCACCTCTCAGTCACTGTCACCTGTGTATCAACATCCCACAGGACCACTGCTCAGTTTCCCAGGCCCTTACATGTCCTGTACCAGACATCAACCCACCGTATTACACTCACCTAAAAACCCTCCTCTATACGCTCTAAAGTTCATGAGGGCAGAGTTGCTCCCTGTCTTCCACAGCTTCTCTAAATTATTTCTATTAACCTCAAAAAAAACATATGAGCTTTTATTCTTAAATTGTCATAAAACTAACAGTAAATCTGTTAAAGAGCAGAATTAAAATAGGTATCACAGTCAGGCAGCTCATTAAACCTGGAAATGATACCAAAACATATCACAAAGAAGCTAACAGAACCACTCAACATGCTGTACAAGACATGTCAGGTACCCTGACGGGCAGTCTAGTGCTGCTAGCAGGCAGCGAGGCACGAATGTGACGTGTGGCGGGGGAGGCAGGCAGGCAGGCAGGCAGGCAGGCAGGCAGGCCTCAGTTGTCTGTAAGCAAAAGGGAAATACGAACGCTAAGGACAACGAGGCGCCTACCCACCCCCACCCAGTGAAGCACAGTAAAGGGCCATCCAGCCTAAGAATGAAGTAATGCTGCGAGAACCCCGGCGTTCCAGGGGCAAAGGCAGAGAAACCGAAGGAAGAAGCACCTCCTCCACCAACCTCAGAGAAGCCTAGAAGAGAACAGAAAGTGAGGCAGGAAGAGCTTTCGGAAAAACAGCATTTCTTAATGAAAAGGAGACTGCTCACCCTATTAAGATAGAGTGTATGACATTCTAAACCAGAGCAAACTGATACAGCAGTCACTAGCCTCATGTGGCTAATAAAATATAAATTAATCAAATTAATTTAAAATTTGATTTCACAATCACATTAACGGGGCTTCAGATGCTCAGCAGCCACCTGGGACTAGAGCCCGCAGGACAGAAGGAGGCAGCTGTGGGCCACTCCTCCCAGGGGAGGAAGTTCTACTGAGCAGCAGCAACACTGGCGCTGACGTGCAACACAATCCACAAGTCTGACTCACTCCTCTCTGCACCATGTGCAAGATACTGTAGCGAAAACAAAACAGGGAAATAACTTTTCTACACTCAAAGCAGTCCACCGAAAGAATCCTCTACCAAAGGTGTCCCCAGTGCTTCTCTGCTATGCCACCACCACGCGCGCGTACCTCCCACAGGGCAGCACGAGGTCACGTGCCCTCTCCCTCTCAGGGAGCACTACATACACTTAGTCCTTCTCATGGAAAATGCTAGAAAGCCGGATATGTTCAGAGGTACGCTGGCCCTCGGCATAACGGGCTGTGCTAAAAGCTTACCATGCTGGGAATACTGTCCAAGTAGTCCACACATATCCCACTCTGTCACATAAGATTGCCTGTGCTTACGCTCCCTCTCCTCTCTGCGCCTTCACCTAGCTCATTACTGCTAACACTTCTCGAATCCCTTGCCCACCTGAACAGTACTGACCTCAAAAAAAAAAAAAAAGAAGCCAAAACATACTTTCCCCTACAGCCACTGCTTGTAATAAACTATGTAGGCATTAAAAATACTATTTCTTTCATTTTATTTTAATTTTATCATTTGAGAGTGTCTAGCTGTGTAGTTCAGCCTAGCTCTGAGTTCACTATTTAGCCCAGGTTGGCCTTAAACTCTCAGTGATCTTCCTGTCTCAGCCTCCTGAGTGCTGGGATTACAGGTATGTGCCACCACACCGGGTGGTTGCTTTCATCTTAAACATCTGTTTTCCAACTACAGATACAGCTCAGAGGCACAGTGTGCAGTGTGCCTACCTGGCAAGCACAGCACCCTGAGTTCAGTTCCCAGTACCCCCAAAAAATAAACATTTGTGTTCATATGAAATATTTTCTGCTAAATCCCAGAAAAACACTGCATCAATTTAAATAATATGAATTCCACTGAAGCTCAAATAGCTGCATCCAAATGAAATTAAACGTTTTCAAAGTTCCCCTTAAGTCATTAACAAAGCCAAATTAGAATTTAGTTCTCCTGAAACTCAGCTCATTCTTTTCCTAATCACACCAAACTACAGATTACTGCACTATGGTATTTCAACACTATGAGCTCAGAACCATGACTTCCACACAATTTAAGAAAAAATAGCAATGAGAGTCATTAGGCTTTCTTTTTTTTTTTTTTTAAATATATTTCGTACAGGGTCTCCTGTACAAAATAGGCAGCTCCGACTCCTAGTGATCTTCCTTCTTTTAGCCTCCCCAGCACTGGGATCACAGGCATGTGCCCCCATACCGAGACTTGGGGAGAGGGGAGGAGAGAGAAGAGGGATCAGAGAGAATAGAGTGAGGGTACACAGATGTAACGAGGAGAACAAAGGCTCTCACTGGGGGCTGTACATTCCAAGAAAACTGATAGACAATGGGACACATGAGGTCATCTCATCTGTTACCCAGCATGCAATGGAGCAAGCACTCAGCATCCCAGCACAGCTCTGCAGGCTCAGCCATCCCCAAGGCAGCTGAGCACCTTTCCATCATAGTAGGAGAGGTTAGTGTGCATACCGCCAGAAGAAATGCCCAGTAGAATCCTAAATTAGAACTGTTTGGGGCATAGTTCGCTACAAAACAAAACTTCATTAACATATCAAGTCATCTCATTTCTAATGTTACTGGACATACTAAATCCCAAGGTACTATATTTTGATCTTTACACATATTACCTCATTTAATCTATTGACCTACTGGTAATATCTCCATTTTTACAGTTTTGGGGGCATTAAGGTACTTAAGATCACTTAGCAAAAAGGGAGTTAAATAAACCAGACCATCAGAGTCTGAAGTCCACACTAAAAGTGACAGAAGATGGGGAGGAACTGAGGGTTTTGGTTCTATGAAAAATGGTCTGAGTAACAGCACTGCAGATCCAAGATGGTAGCTAGAGAAAAAAGTAATGCAATTTCTGAACAGCTCCCACTGCAGTGAGCATGCACATGCGACCTGTGACAGCAGCAACCTAAGGGACAAAGCTGTCAAAGATAAGGTCCTCCACCTGGAGGGAAACCAACCTGTAGCCATGCATTTAGCATGCTCAGCAGGCGATGTACTTCCAACTATTTGACAACAGGAAGAAGAAAGAGAAAGATCAAGG